GGAAATAGAGGAAGAAGGCTCATGTGTTATTTAGAGGAGTGCAAGGGGAATGTACCCCTCCATATATAGGATTTTAAATAAAACTAGTAACCCCATTTATTAAGATTATTTGCAATAGATCAAAATATTAATTAATAACCAAATATAAAGAGACGCTGTCAAATATTATGTTTATTTGTATTTTATGCTTAATGCACATCAGCCCTTGATATTTCATTTTGAAAATTCTGATTTAGCTTTACAGCTCTACATGGCAGAGGGGGGCACCCTAGATGATTTCTGGAAATGTAGTAGTGAATAAAAGGTGCAATTTTTTGGGAAATCGATATCAGATTTCGGGTTCATTGCAGAGTGATGTGACAATAAGCAAAACCACCAGGTGTACAGACTACAAAAAGAAAATGCAGAAGTATTAATACAGTAAGTGCATGGACACCTGCAGGAACACCAGGTGTACATATAGCTAAGCAATGTCAAGGAAATTCTCTGTAGGTCAAATTTCTCTATGTCACAATATATTTGCTTTGCCATTAAATTATTTGCTGATTCTGTGTGAGTGCTAAACAAAAAGATAAATCAGGCTTTGCAGAAAAGTATCAGAGAGTTATGTATAGAAATTTTCTGGCACAATATAAAAAGAATAACTGTGTCTTTTCCATTATATTGTGATTTTACAAGGACTAACAAAACTAGATGATGCTGTGGCTTTTGAACAGCCTGGGGCTCAATGCAAAAATAACTACACTATATTGCCAACTACACTATATTGCCAAAAGTGTTGGGACGCCTGCCTTTACACACACATGAACTTTAATGGCATCCCAGTCTTAGTCCCTTAGGGTTCAATATTGAGTTGGCCCACTCTTTGCAGCTATAACAGCTTCAACTCTTCTGGGAAGGCTGTCCACAAGGTTTAGGAGTGTGTCTATGGGAATGTTTGACCATTCTTCCACAAGTGCATTTGTAAGGTCAGGCACTGATATCGGACAAGAAGGCCTGGCTCGCAGTCTCCACTCTAATTCATCCCAAAGGTGTTCTATATGGTTGAGGTCATTACTCTGTGCAGGCCAGTCAAGTTCCTTTACCCCAAACGCGCTCATCCACGTCTTTATGGATCTTGCTTTGTGCACTGGTGCGCAGTCATGTTGCAACAGAAAGGGGCCATCCCCAAAGTGTTTCCACAAAGTTAAGAGCATGAAATTGTCCAAAATGTCTTTGTATGCTGACACCTTGAGAGTTCCCTTCACTGGAACTAAAGGGCCAAGCCCAACTCCTAAAAAGCAACCCCACACCATAATCCCCCCTCCACCAAACTTTACACTTGGCACAATGCAGTCAGGTAAGTACCGTTCTCCTGGCAACTGCCAAGCCCAGATACATCCATCGGACTGCCAGACAGAGAAGCATGATTCGTCACTCCAGAGAACACGTCTCCACTGCTCTACAGTCCAATAGTGATGTGCTTTGCACCACTGCATCCAATGTTTTGCATTGCACTTGCTGATGTAAGGCTTGCATGCAGCTGCTTGGCCATGGAAAACCCATTCCATGAAGCTCTTTATGCACTGTTGTTGTGCTAATCTGAAGGCCACATGAAGTTTGGAGGTATTTCGTTTTTGACTCTGAAGACAGTCGGAGACTTCTGCGCACTGTGCGCTTTAGCATGCGCTGACCCCGCTCTACCACTTTGTGGCTGGGTTGCTGTTGTTCCCAGCTGCTTCCACTTTGTTATAATACCACTATCAGTTAACCATGGAATATTTAGTAGCAAGGAAATTTCATGGATGGACTTATTGCACAAGTAGCAACCTATCACAGTGCCATGCTTGAATTCACTGAGCTCCTGAGAGCGACCCATTCTTTTACAAGTGTTTGTAGAAGCAGTCTGCATGCCTAGGTGCTTGATTTTATACACCTGTGGTCATGGAGATGGTTGGAACACCTGAATCCAATGATTTGGAGGGGAGTCCCAATACTTTTGGCAATATAGTGTATTTGTCTGTGGGCTTTAGGTGTATGAATTTTGATCAAATAATTATATTTAGCTTTAAAGTATGGGATGTAGTGGTCCTCAAAGTTTAGAGGGAAGTGGGAAAGCCCTTGAAGTGTAGTTTATTGGTTGGCTCAGAAATTATGTTTATCTCAAAAGGTCAATCTGTGAGGAGAAAAGGAAAATAACTTACATCTGTTGAGGCTGCAGTCACCCTATAGGGCAAGGGCATGCAACCTTCCATGTACGTGGATGGAGAAAAGCCTCTCTCCACAAAGGGTGAATGTGACTGCTCTCGATGCCACAGAGGTCCCAATCCAGGGTCCTCGGAGGGGTTCTCAGGAGGGTGTTGGAAATTACAGTAGATAAATTGTATAACAAAAAAGAGATGTTCTGATTGGCAGAGATACCCATAATTGTCTATTTAGGAATAGGTCGCCTTGCTTAATGAACATGAAGTTGCTTTGTTTCATCATAAAAATGTGTTTTGGGCTGCAAATTGACACTGCCTTAAGTCAGAGTGATACATTGATGTTTATGCATGGCAGGTGGTGCTAGTAAATTTAGCTTTGTTTGAAGTAGAGAAAACAAATATTTTAAAAAAATAAGAACTATACTGTATATTAAAGGTTTTTTCACTGAATATGGATAGCTTTAAACCACCATCATTGTGATCATGCCTGTTAAAGAAATGGTCTTACCTTTGCCACTACTATTACAAAATGAAATTGAGACGACTGGGTATATATTCTTTAATTACAGATAAGTGAAGCACACACTGATAGAACACATCACTGGTTGTAAACCCTTACATATACCCAGTGAAGTTACTGGCCTCAAGTGATACAAAGAGATGAAAAAAGTGATCTTGCATATGTTGTGCCTGTTTATCTACCACAGGCTTTCCACCAAAATCCATTTAAAGTGTAGAACTTACATAGAATCTCTCATCTCTGAAAAGCAGGGGGTGTGGAGCAGAAATTACTCAGTCTGGAGAGCTCTGAGAGCTGATTGGAGGAAAGGCACAACCCCCCCCCCCCTTCACACAGCATAAAAGAACAGAGAAGTAACTCATCAGAAGTAACTCTAAATAGTAGAGGAACGATGCAGCAGACAGAAATGACACATAGTGCTCTGGATTGACACACTAAATACACTATAGAAGGATATGCCTTGTTCATTTTTCATGCATGAGGTTTACAACCACTTTAATGCAGTCACGGTAAACAAAGAAAAGTCATATTCAGTCAGCAAGACAGAAGATGCTTCATTGTTCACTTAAATTTATATAAAACTAATAGCTGAATCAAAAGTAACCATCTACTGTCAGGTTCAGTAACCTGCAAACTACAGATTTTCTGTTTCTTCAAACAAGCAAAGAAAAAATAGCTTTTTTTTGCACTGCGCTGCTCATACATAAATGGCCATAAATGGGAGAATCTTATTGTTTGTCAATGAAAGATCAGACCCTCAGAGAAGCTTGTTTTCATTCTACTTGTACCTTCAAATTTTCAGTGCATGGGAAAAAGAAAATTGGACCATAAAATTGAATCCACCTGATCCATTGTGACACAGACAAGATCCTTAGTTTTCCATACATGGCATTTCCTACTTAACTTGTAAACTGGCTGCCTTTTTTTGTTTTTCTTTTTTTTTTTACTTGTGTAATTTTATTTTATTATATTTTGCATATTTTATACAGCAGATATATTTCACCACTTGCTGAAATTTACAGAATTTACTGTATATATTCGCTGTATGCTCAGATTTCTATTTGTTCCACTTTTCTACTCAATAAACGTTTGTAAACAAAAACACATGATAAGATTATCTCATAATGGTGTTAAAACCATCAAAGAGATACAGTCATTTTAGCCACATCTGTGTGTTTATTGATAGTGATTTATTACCAGGAACTCATAATAAAGGCAACTAGTAATGAAGAAGACATCATGATGTGTTTGCAAAGATGAAAAACTTACTTTCTGTATATAATTTATGCCTTTGGAAAAACATATTAAACCTATACATAAAAATTATACAACATATATTTTTTATTATTGTTGTACACCTTCAATATTATTATTCTGAAAAACTTCTCCTGATTTATATTGTATATGTGTTTCATGTGTAAGTAGTAGCGCTACAAAATGGAAAGTGACAAAATGAATATATAATACAAGCATACTCGTTATTACTTTGTAATATATTTATAATTCGTTTTAGAGATTTACATGTTTCTGCTGCAATGCCTAGCCAGGAGACTTTACAGCTTTGTTACCTCCCGAATCCAGCCTGCTGCTAGAAATTTGATTAAGAACTTCCACACTGAAAAATATATCCCTGTGCTCTTTTCTCATATAAGTAAGTTCCCAGGGCCAGAAAATAAGATAGACTGATAGTACCGATTGACTTGCCCTCTCCCTCTCAGTCTGAGTTCTGGTGTGCAGTGAGTTTTGGAAAGCTAATAAAAAACAGATTTCACAAACTTCTACTAGCAGAAAACATGTATACATTTAATTAATTAATTAATTAATTAATTAATTAATTCATTCATTCATGTTTGTGCTATACATCTGTTTGAAATTCAGCCTTAAGGTATACTGGTCAACACTTTTATTGCTTTGGCTGGTGTGGGAAACTGTTAGAACTTTAATCCAGGTTTTATAATTATCAGCATTTGTATATTATGTAGGTAAATCATTACCGACAGACACATGTTAGTTTTTGGCATTTGCACTAAAAACCTCCACAAATCTCTACAGTTCTGTACTATTTATATATTGAACAGAGAGCCACTGGGGTTGGATATGGACAATTTGTATATGAAAGAAGCACCACATACTGACCAAGCATGAAACTATCCTTGGGTTTGGCATTCTGGTTCAGAACAGATCATAGGCCTGATTTAGTAAATGGTATGGGCAGATGCCATCTCAATGATCATGCGCAGACAACCAAACCACATCCTTGGTATTTGAAATGCACATGCCAAGTGCACAGAAGCTACACAGTACATACATTTAATTTACTAACAATTGTTTGTTATGGAATGCACATTCCAGCATTTGAATGTATGCTAGCTGTCTCTGAGCAAAACATTTCACCTAGGCAGCATATATTAGAAATTTCCTTTTAAACTAGTCCAACAACAACTTACTTTGATTTAACGCCAATCTCATTACCAGAAAGACTGTTATATGGGGCTTCCTGCTAATAGTCTCTCTTCTGTACACACCCAGGCTATCATTAACATTCACATAAGCTAGAAGGTGTTTTATCATAGTGCTTGAATTTGTAACAATGGAAAACATAGAATAAATTGCAGCAAATCATATGAATGAAAACAGCACAGCTTCTCTAGAACATATTGCTAGGCTTTATCATGCCCATGTGAAGTAATAAAGATATATGATTAGCATTAACAAATAAACATAGCCTGGGAGTAAACTAAATCTTGTATAGCATCAACTAAAATAGTTAATTCTAATATAATCATACTTTGACTCTATCACATAGTGGGAACTGCTTTTGCCACATTATTCTTTATGTGTGTATAAAAAGAGAATATTTAACATTTACCAAAGCTATTCCTTGTTTTTCTTTTTTTTTTGTTAATAATGGCTGTTTAATTACCATTTTTCATGCAGAGAACACAATAACAATGTCATCACTGCAATAGCATAAGCAAAATATTTCTAGAGTGGAAGTTCTCTGCATTCATTAATTTCAGCTTTTGGTAAAAATTAGCAGATTAATCACATACTAAAATGTTATTCATTTTCCCTACCATCCTAGGTCTCCCTAGCCCTAATTTTTCTGTGAGTGGACATACTGATTTATATGTGACCACAAACATGAATAAACCCCTATTGTTGATTTCCTGGAATGTGATGGCACTGTATGACCCCACTAAATGACAAGCAGTATGTACTACATTGTCATCAGTAGTCTTCTTGCCAGAGACAAATTGGGGTTGATTTACTAAAACTGGAGAGTGCAAAATCTGGTACCGCTGTGTATGGTAACCAAGCAGCTTCTAACTTCAGCTTGTTCAATTAAGCTTTGACAAAAAAAAAATCTGGAAACTGATTGCTTTCTGTGCACCTGCAGATTTTGCACTCTCCAGTTTTAGTAAATCAATCCCATTTAGTTGCAAAAACAACAAATGTACTACATAGACCAAAATATAGAACTCAGTTTCACTCTGTAAACTCGCTAGAGATGTTAGTATCTTTGAGGCAACATCTATGATACTTTCCTGTAGAAGGGCACAGATAAATATGCAAAGTAGATTTATTTTCTTATTATATGTACAACATTATATGTTTGTGATACTCCCAAATGTCTACATACCTCTGCCCTACTCTGGTGATGCTCTGAAAAAGCCTTCTTGGTTTATGGCAGACTACCCAGGTGTTCTGGTGCTTGTGGTGGATGACTTCAATAATGTACTTTGCCAAACTCTGTATAGATTTCCAGTTGTAGGAGCTTCCCTAATATGGCTCGAGATGCCCTAAGACAGCTATCCTTTTGATTAGGTCATTCATGTTGAAGTGCATTAAGGAGATAGTGGTTTCTTTTGGGTGGAGACATTATGATTGAAGCTATACTGTTGATACTTGAATAAAAGTAATTTGAAGAGTGAAGATTGGAGTGTGGCTCTTATTCATCTATTCCCCAAGATACCCTTTGCTAGACTCTTGAAAGATCTAGGCCTAGTGGATATTTGGAGACTGCAGCATCCTGACACTAATTACTATTACTGCTGTTCTAGCACATACACTCTCTCATAGATTTTGCATTGGCTACTGAACCTATTCTCCCAATTAATGTCTCACCTGAAAATGGGTCAATAATTTGTTATGACTATTCCTTGTTAATAATACATCTTCGGTGCTCATCCTTAGTTGGCCTGGCCCTTTGAAAAGTTAACCCATGTTGACCTTATTTTAATCCTAGACAAAGTCTATATTAAAAATACTCCTATTGACTATTTTTCTTTTAATGAAATACACATCTGGATCACCAGTAGCCTAGAATGCCATGGAGGTGTACCTGAGGGGAACACTCATAAAGGACATGTCAGCTTTCAAGAAAGAAATGAGAGAATTGTTAATATAATAGCTGTGCTTAGCTGATCAGGCATGTATAAAAAAACCCTGTGCCTGTCCACCAGCAGAGATGGAGAGATTTTTTAACACCTTTATACAGCTATATCCCTAACAAAATCTGAAAATCAGCTGTGGAGGCACTGATGAGCACTCTCATAGTCCACGGACATGTCCTCCAGCTTTCAAACAGAAAGCCCATACAGAGGCACAGGCTGAAAGTTGAAGGACAGGTCTGCAGGACCCACATTACACCTATGATCTAGTGATCATGGGTGCAATAGTTTCCAGGCTCCTGCAGAAAAAAAATAATAAATGTCAACTCATCCTTTAAATCATTTTCTGACCTCTTTTGATCTACCTAGTCTGGAAGAAGAGGACAGCAAAGGCCTGAATAAGGCATTGACTCTTGAATAAACAACCAAAACTGCAGAAGAGACTTCTAAGAAATTTGGATATAAAAGGCAGGGCATTTTTTCTCACTGATCAATGAAGCAAGATGTTTTTCCATTTATTTTCCAACAGAAGCAGGCATTTTTTCCTACCATCCAATAACACCAGGCATTTTCTTCCCACTGACCAAAAAAACAAGCACTTTAATCCCCTTGACCAATAACACCAAACATTTTCTTCCCTTTCACTAATAATACCAGACATTTTCCTCCCACTGACCAATAACACCAAGCATTTTCCTCCTACTGACCAATAATACCAAGCATTTTCCCTCCAACTGACCAATAATATCAGGTATTTTCCTCCCACTGACCAATAACACCAAACATTTTCCTCCCACTGACCAACAACACCAGGCATTTTCCCCCTATTGACAAACAACAATACAAGGCATTTTCCGCTTACTAACCACCAACAGCAGGCCATTTTGTTTTTTCTTCTGCTGACAACCAATACCGGGACATTTTTTTCCCTTCCATAGACCAGAAATTTAAGGAGCACAGTTACATAGTTAAACCACTGCAATTTTTATGCTGTGTTGTGTGTTACATATTCCTAACCAAAGTGCCTGTGCTGTGAACAATGTGGTTTATTTACTAAAGGTGGAAAGAGCAAAATCGGGTGCACTTCTGCATAGAAATCAATCAGCTTCCAGGTTTTATTGCCAAAGCATAATTAAACAAGCCAAGGCTAGAAGCTGATTGGCTACCATGCATAGGTGCACCAGATTTAGTAAATCAACCCCACTGTGCATAGACTGAGAGGTAATTTATTGCAGTCACTGACACCTGTATGGGAGTTATTATTGCAGAATCAAGTTTATAGCACTATTTACTTACTACATTTTTCTATTTTTTGATTGAGATTGTGAAGTAGGCATGTTGTTTCTTCTAGCTGGAACTCACACTTTCTTGCAAACATATTTTGGTACACTAAAGGTAGCCTAGTGCATTCTGCATGTAAATGCAGGCTACCTAGAAATGCCCTCTCCTCCAAGAGCCAGCCCACTGCTTGTATCAAGGCTGTAGGCTCTTGAGAGAAGTAGGGGTGCAGGAGGTGCAGGGTAGGGTGCTGTGATTTTGTTTCTTTTAGAAAGCATTGTACAACACTCTGCTGGCCCCTCCCATGAGCCATGATCTACCTGCACTGTTTAGAGAAGAACAGAGAACAAGTGATGATTTCCTTTAAAAATGTAATCAGCTTGTTGATGAGGTGGGGAAGGAAGAACCAGGGAATAAAATATACAAGTAGAATAAATGTGAGATTTTAATAGTTTGCATTTATTTAATCATGTTAGTATTAATAGTATTTAATCATAATCTGAATAACATGTTGAAAATAGAACAAAATGCTATGCTTTACTGCTCCACTACAATACCAATATGCACCAAATATAAAAATTCTTGAGGCAGATGTGTTTGGGAAAAAAAACACTTTCTCAGGTATTTTGCTAAATTCTAAATCGTGCCCTGTTTATGAATGTGTAAATTACACTTGGTCAAGGAAGGTTTTAACATCTTTATTTTTATAGTGCAGCTACAAAAATCTGTTTGGCATATTAGGTTTGAGGTTGATATGGAGTGAAATAAGTAGCTCAGCCAAGATAATTTGTCAGTTTGCCTATTCATTGCAGACATCTCAACAGACAAGGCAACGGCCTTTGAGCTATTGGCTATTTTGGACAGCTCTGATTTACATTTTTTTTACCAATGACTATAAACAATGATCACACAGTTTGTTTCTGAAGCATAATGATCTTCCTTTTCAAAAACACTTATTATGCTATATTTACTTTAAAATCTAAAGCCTTTTCAACAGTTGGAGAGGAATACGTAAAGTGGAAGTAGAAATCTAACTGATTTACAGAAATGTAATTCAGATCACAAGAAGAAAGGGTACTAATAATGCACTCTCTCAAGAAAAAAAACAAAACCTCTCTAGCAATACACACTAAACTGAGCATGTGCAGTTTCTCTACCTGATTTGTCTTATCATGAGATAAGAGGGAGACACTGAAAGAAGGAGAGAATCAGAAGAGTCAGGATCAAAGAGCCTTTTAAACAATGCAGAGGATTAACCCCATAGGTCCCACAGTGAGTATAACAAGCATGCTTTACTGCATATACAGACTGATTTTGCTGTTGTGGGTTTAGTAACACTTTAAAGGTTCTAGCTTCAAGAATGTCATTTTTATCCTTGCTTCAAGACTACTACTAGACTACTTTTTACATTTATACTGTTAAACACAAATTTAAAACTGACAATGTTAATTCACCCACAGGCGTTCATTAAATTTGAAGTCTCTAGTAGTGAGATTTGCTTGTTGAAGATACAAGCCCTGCTCCCCTAGCTATGGAGTATTATATCTCTTGTTGCATCACTACATCTTTATCATTGTTTAGCTGTATCTATAGTGACATTAAAGACCATATCTTAGCAGGAAATTAAAGCACTCTGTAACTAATGCTTTGCAGTAAGCACAGCAACTTTGCTGCAGTTAGAGTGTTCACTCAATTACCTTAATTTAGGCTCTGTTTAGTGCAGAGCAGGGGGCTCCAAACTGCACCCACTACGTGATTTTATCAGGCCCGCAGAGCAGTCTCTGCTCTGATGGAGACCCCAACAAAAGGAGGATCTTGATGTAAGGTTAGAGTCTGATGTGGACTACTTTGATGTGAGAAAGCATTCTGATGCAGAGTTTGATGTGGAATCTGATGTAAGGGGTACTCTAATGGGGACCCAGATGTAAAGGGCACTCTGACGTAAGGGGCATTCTGATGAGGACCCTGATGTAAGGAGAGACTTTGATGTAAACTCTGATGTAAGGGGAACTCTAATGGGAACGCTGATATAATATTGACTTTGAAGGGGACCTTGACATAAGGAGGGACTCTTACGGGGACACTGATGTAAGGGTTGTGATGGGAGTCACTTTGGGTGGGGGGCCCATGGAACCCAGCTCACTTTGAAGAAGTGGGGAGACCCCTGTCTCAGCTCCTCATATCCCTCTTATGTGTAAGTCACCCTGTGCCTGTTAGGGGTACAGGGTGATCTGTCCTAACATTGTGTGGGCTTTGTCTCAGACTGTGTAGACATGTTTAGGAGATAGGTGGGGTGGGGGTTGTTGATTGTTTAATGTCATGTGGCCACATCCCATTATTCTATTCTTTGTCTGGCTTAGGAGCAAACTATTATGGGATGTATGTGTTTATGTGTATTAGCTGAGAGTGGGGGGTGTCTCCAGCAGCACCCCCTCCTGATGGGACTGTCTGCTGGTATGAAGTTTGAATACCTGTGTGTCTCTTGTTACTAAATGTAGATTGCCCCGCCCTGTGTCATTATGCAGGGAGGGGGGATTGGCCCCTGAGTGTATATATCTTGTATCTGGGATCAAATAAAAGAGTTCCATGTTCAGACAGACTGGTGTTGTCAAGTCTTGTATGGTCGGCTGTTGTGTCTGTTGTCGGTGTTCGGATGTAGAAGCAGTATTCTAACGGAAGTACTCAAGCGCAGTCTGGGACGGTTCCGTTACAAGGGTGACTCTGTATTTTGTTTGACCTTTATTAATATCTCAAGTTTATTTGGAATGGCTTTGTTTTGCAAAAAATTATTTCTCTGTTATTCTGAACCATATCACGTTGATTCCAACAAAGCTCCAAATAAAACTTAATAATTAATTTACATTTTATACATTCATTTATAGAACTGATTTTTTCGATCCATGAATATTTGTAAAATACACAATGTGACCCCATTACCAAAAGGTATGAAGACCCCTTGTATAGAATAATTTATACACAGCTGCCCAAAAGGTCAGTAGCAGGGCAATATGGGTGTACTTCCCAAATTCTAGCATTATCAATCAAATTAAAAATTTAATGACAGGACTGAAAAAGAATGAAGTCCTTTAGAAACCTCTTGGTAGTAGAGAGGCAGCAAGGAGTATATTTTAGCATTACCAGCAGAGGCCTTCCAGAATAACTACAAAACAGACAAAAGGACTTGTCGGTGACAGGTACAGTACAGCAGTTTTTGGAGGAAAAGCTGAACTAATCATCAGGAAGGCTATGCTCCTTTGTATTCATCTCCAAATATATTTTTCAGTTTTTACTAGAGTTTTTACTATTTTTACAGTTTTTACTATTTATTAAAAAAAAAGTATACACCTATTTAAAGTTGAGGGGTGACTTAATTTACCAGCATATATCCAAAGCTGAAAAAAACAGCTGAGTTTCAATATGAATTCATATTATTCTATTTAAAAATAAAATAAACCTCAATTATCCAACATCACCTCCCTTTATTAAAGATTGTTTCACAATATAATGTGCAATCTGTATCCTCAGTATGGTACTGTATAGTTTTACAATAACACCTATTATGTTTCACCTAATTGTTCTTGCAAATCCATTATCATTGTAATATGATATGATTGCAGTATTGCTCTAGTACTCTACCTAATAAAATGTTTTGAAAATAAAATAAAAATAAACCACTACACACTCTTCATTGATGGGAGCATCAACTTAGGCAAGCAGCCTATTCCTGTATAGCTGCCTACAAACAAAGGATCATGTCGTAGTGTGGAATTTACTAAGGAGACCATCTATAAAGTGGCAGGCATAGAGGCCTTGAGGTAGTGGCGTTCACCATCAGTCTAATCCACTCCCCATGTCTTACCTATAATCTGTAGCCACACCAGTGTACTACAATTTATTTTTATGTCCTATTGCTCTTTGTTAGATAATGTATACCCTTGTTCCCAATGCAATCGTTGTTTTTCCTCCTGTTTTTCAATTCTTGTCCCTGTATATCTTCCCTCACCTCTCACGTACTGAATGTTAGGCTCTCCTTTCCTTTTCTCCAGAAGTCATTTTGTTATCATTCACTAGTTTTTCTAAATTGAGTACAACACATCTTTCATCTTCTTTGTGTCTAGTGCTTGCCATCTTCATATTCCACTCATCTGCATCTGTGCTCTCTCTCAGCTTCCCACTTTCTCCTTTGTCCACATTCTCTATTCTGTTTCTGAGCCATTCCATTTTGTTCCAAAGTGCTGCTACTAATCCTTGATGACCTGCAACCCTGATTTAGACTGCTGGGGGAGTTGCAGCAACTCACATTCAATCTTCTGCATTAGATAGGGAAACTTTACATTGCTCATGCTTCCAAATGAATAAGGCAGTACAAATATACTATAAGACTTTTGTCACTTTAGTGAAATGGATATTGTCAATTGCTTGATCGTTCCATGCATTTTAGCCATACATTTTTTAAAGTGCTGCACAAACTGTTCACACTATATACTGTAAATCATGTATAATGATAATAATAATATTAATAATATTATACATAGTTTTGGGGGCAATGCTCCATATTAAATATCATGTCGGCTTTAAAGCCTTAAGCTGGCCATACACTATATTATCTGTATAGTTTTTTTTAACTGTAGCATAATTTTTTGGCAAATATAAAGGAGATTGTACACTCAGATAGTATAGTATATGGCAAGCTTAAGACTCCACAAATGTTAGAATAAGTGGTTGACGATCCAGGACCTATACTCAGACATCACCTAGAATGTTCTTATAGCAGGGGATTTAAAAATTTAAATCAATATGGTGACATGTGCTAATTGTTGTATGCAACATTTGGGCTAATAAAGCTGGACAGCGGCAGGTGTGTGTATTGAGCTGTTCAGCTTCGTGCACATTGTTGGACATCAGTCCTTGCAGGGTGCTTGGCAAGATTGGAAATACCTACCAAGACAATCTTGTACCAGCCTTACAGACAATAGGGGAAATCTTTAGTCCAAAGTTTTTGGCTTCAATATTTCAAATAAATTTGTTTATATATGTACACTATATTGCCAAAAGTATTGGGACACCCCTCCAAATAATTGGATTCAGGTGTTCCAATCACCTCCTTGGCCACAGGTGTATAAAATCAAGCACTTAGGCATGCAGACTGCTTCTACTAACATTTGTAAAAGTATGGGTCACTCTCATGAGCTCAGTGAATTCAAGTGTGGTACTGTGATAAGTTGCCATTTGTGCAATAAGTCCATCTGTGAAATTTCCTTGCAACTAATATTTCACGGTCAACTGTTAGTGGTATTATAACAAACTGGAAGCAACTGGGAACAGCAACTCAGCCACGAAGTGGTAGGCCATGTAAAATGACAGAGCGGGGTCAGTGCATGCTGAAGCGCCAGGTGGGCAGAAGTTGCCAACTGTCTGCAAAGTCAATAGCTAAAGACCTCTAAACATCGTGTGGCCTTCAGATTAATACAACAAAAGTGCATAGAGAGCTTCATGGAATGGGTTTCCATGGTCGAGCAGCTGCATCCAAGCCTTACATCAACAAGTGCAATGCAAAACATCAGATGCAGTGGTGTAAAGCATGCCAAAATTGGACTCTAGAGATGTGGAGACGTGTTCTCTGGAGTGACAAATCATGCTTCTCTGTCTGGCAATCTGACGGATGTGTCTGTGCTTGGTGGTTGCCAGAAGAACGATACTTGCCTGACTGCATTGTGCCAAATGTAAAGTTTGGTAGAGGGGGGATTATGGTGTGGGGTTGCTTTATAAGGGGTTGGGCTTGGCCCCTTAGTTCCAGTGAAGGAAACTCTTAAGGCATCAGCATACCAAGACATTTTGGACAATTTCATGCTCCCAACTTTGTGGGAACAGTTTGGGGATGGCCCCTTTCTGATCCAACATGAATGCGCACCAGTGCACAAAGCAAGGTCCATAAAGACATAGATGAGTGAGTTTGGGGTGGAGGAACTTGACTGGCCTACACAGAGACCTGATCTTAACCCAATAGAACACATTTGAGATGAATTAGAGCGGAGACTGTGAGCCAGGCCTTCTCGCCCAACATCAGTGCCTGACCTCACAAATGCGCTTCTAGAAGAATGGTCAATCATTCACGTAGACACACTCCTAAACCTTGTGGACAGCCTTTCCAGAAGAGTTGAATCTGCTATAAGTGCAAAGGGTGGGCCAGCTCAAACTTTAACCCTACGAACTAAGACTGGGATGCCATTAAACTTCATGTGCATGTAAAGACAGGTGTCCCAATACTTTTGGCAATATAGTGTATATCATCCTAGTGTAGGTCATCCTCTGCAAATCGAGCTGTGAGACTTCTGGAGCTGTTTCTGGATGTTGTGTATACTTTGTCTGGCTGGTGGAGGCTAATAAACAATGCTTTTATGGATCTTGTAAGATGTGAGTGGCCTGGTAATATTATATATAAATCTAATGGTCATTAGCAATATCACACTATATGAAATTCTTTTCCCTTGGTACAACTGTGGAGAGGGGTTTGGAGGTCCTTATCAAGGAGGGAGTGGAAGGATCATCCGAGTCCTATATGGTGGAATGGAGGTCTGGAGGCTATGGAGGGGGTGTAGGATCCCAAAAAGTCCTAAAAGGCCTTTTTGGGATCCTTTTTGGACACATTAAGTTTTTTTTTGGACACTTTAATCTAAAATATTTTTTATATGTTGTATGATTTATATTATGTATGACATGTAAGGTATTTGGTTTAGGTATTATTTTGCGCTGTTTTTATTTGGTTTATATATTTTGGTGTGTTACACTAGTGCACAGCAGCATTTCATACCTTTGGTTAGAGATTATTCTGTGGCGCAGGAGTGTGTATTTTTAATATAGTGTATATACCCACATGGAAGAAAAATATATTTTAAATATATTTAAAAATATTCTTCCCCAATATATTGACATATATCTGAAATACTACAATTTTGGCTGTATTCAATATACTACTATATATATATATATATATATATATATATATATATATATATATATATATATATATATATATATATATATATATATATATGTACTGTATGCTGAAATGCATTTTATATATATTACAAAATATATGAAAATATTTTTAAATATTTTTAAAAATATATATTTTTAAAAATATATTCTTCAGATTTTTTAACATATAAAAAGGTCATTGTAACATATATTTTTACATATATTTGTAAATGCATTCCAAAAATGTAGATAAATGTATTGTTAAAGACGTGCAGTATATTTGAAAATTTATTTTTAAAAATATTTTTCATATATTTTGTAATATATAAAAAACGCATTTCAACATACAGTGTGTATATATATATATTTTTTTTTTAAATATATTGAATATGGCCAAAATTATAGCTTTTCAAATATTTGTCAATATATTTAGGAAGAATATTTTTAAAATATATTTAAAATATATTTTTTCTTCCATGTGGGTATATATATATTTAAAAAAATAACAGGCAGCCATATTAGCTGATTACATATTCACACTGTGCTTTCAAGTTCAGTTGAGGTCTTTAATTTTTGCTCATACTGACTAGAAACAAAATCTGTAGGCTGCATATCCTATTATCTCAGCAACTACTCAGCAAGAAATCTTCATATACATGCAGAGGGGTAGATTACACATCTGTAAATCATAATAAATATAGGAAACAACAGGTATAAAAAAGTAATGTCAACAATTTTTCTGATGAAAATAATACAATAATAACTCAAAGTACTTCCCTTTATTTATAGCAGGAAACTGCTAAATTATTAACTTTATTATCAAAGCAAAAAAATCTGTTAGCAATTAGGACTGTTCATGATCAAAGTAATTTTAAATTATAATTGAAACCAGAAGCCTAAAAACCCGGACTTTGAACTCCTGAACTAATGTGGCAATGCAGGCTGCAGCACTGTTTTTTCATCAGAAGCGTTTTCCTGGTCTAGTGTGAATGGAAGGCATCACAGCGCTGACTCCTGAAAGGGCATCACCACAGTGCCCTCCTTGCACACTGTAATGGTACAGATCAGATCATGATGTCAGCACTCCTATGCATCAGTATGGATTGTGCAATCAGGAAAATAGAATGTCATGTGACTGGCCTAAAGACTTCAGAAAATATAAGTATTATTAACAATGGGGCCATGGTTGGGGGGGGTGTTTGAGGACAGTTTTTTGAGAGGGAGGTATGGAGCCTGGAGTGTATCTATGAAGCAAAACCTGTGCTTTGTCTATGTAGGGGTATGGAGAGATAGAGAAGTATGGTGACTCTCACCGATGTCTAATGACTGGCCCATCACTGTAACATAACTGGAGATTCAAATAGAACAGGGCTCTCCTTCCTCACTCCCAGTGGTTGAATAAAGTAAGAGAAGGAGGGGGTGAAAAGGAAAGCAAGTATGTACTGTTGGGAAGGGGGGCATCAGCATGTTGCTTTACCCTCTATGGAAAAACAAGTAGAAACAAGGATGATGAACCAAGAGTGCAATCTGTAGGTGGAAAAAGAAAGTGATGAAACATGTCAGGGTGGGACTTAGTGACATCATCACACCCCCAGGAAGGAGCAACCTGGAAACTGCAGTATGGTAATACTCCCTGAAAGGGAGCAAGTATGTCATGTTTCACATGACTGTCATATGCCTTTAAGTGTTCTTTGTATTTTGTCTCAGCTCCTCCCCTTCCTTTGGTTGCGTTCATGCTTTATAGATTGCCCCACCCTTTTGTTCATTTTCCCAGTAATGCACCTCAGTTTCAAGCCTCATGTCTTATGGAGTAGATCACATTATGATCTTTTGACCTATCCAATGTTCATTGTTGTAATATTCTCTCAGTTTATGGAATAAACTTCACATGATCTACAAGGTGTCGTCTGGATCGAGTCACTGCCTGTGTTATTCAACTAAGATTGGAGTTATCGCTATCTCATCACAACTGTCAGTTACAGAGATCACACTTTCAATGCTTAGATTGGAGAGACAGAGCAACGTACCAGTATATGTTATACATTCACGTTTAAGGTGGTGCAATACTGTGGATTAGTGCACCAACATTGTGAGTGCATTTTATGAAGTTTTTAATAAATATTTAAGGGTTGAAAAAAGCGGTAAACACTATGTGCATTCTCTTTTCCTTTTGAGTAACTGTGTTGGTGGAGAGCTTGCTAGACCTACATGGTAAATATAAAGAGCCCTGGAGCTATCTATTAAAAACAAGGAGTTGGAGTTTTGAAGTGACCTAGATTAACCCCTTAAAGGGGAAAGTGCATTGTGACCTATACAAGGTCCAAAAGTAAGGTGAGCGCGGAGAGCGAATGGTGGTGGTTCACACTGAAATGATCACATTGCTGCAAATGGAATATCCTGAATTTCACATCAGAATATTATTTAGATCTCATGCACTGCCTGCTTTATTTGCAAAAGTATAGTGGTGGTGACACCTTCTCACATACACTTTGTATTTTAGATAAATTCATGTTGGTACATTAAACATGGACACTGCGCATATATGTATATACAGTAATGAGATATTGGTATAACAGTCACTTTATGCAACATTACAGTTTCCTATAATTGTGTAATTGAGACTTTAAAATCTATATATACAGCGCTGCGCTACATTAATTCAGATGTGGGAAAGCATGTTTTGTGCATTGCAGCAACATTTTATTAGAATTGTATTAAAATATCGGTAAAAACACTTGTACAGTTGATGACATATTGTGGGTGGTGCAGAGATTTTTCACTTTACAACTTCAGCGGATTAAAATTGGTGATATTTAAATATCATTCTTTGGTCACCAAAACAATCAAAGACTTTCAAGCTGAAGAGCCAGGAAATTATTGTCTTAATTTTCCTTGCTGAACTTTTTTAGGCTGGCAATAACATTTCCATGTTACATTTTACAGTTTCAACACTGTTTAATAGCACAACAGAATGGCATTAATAGTACAAAAAGGCATTCTATGAGAAAAGGGAATGCTTTTGTTTACTAAAGTGCATTTTCTTTCATATATTCTATTTCAGTCTAGGGAAAAGAACTGGCAGCTTTTAAAACATCCTTATGGCTTAATAGCATATAATGACATTTTATTTAATGTACTATAAAAAATAAATAAATAGAATTAAACTATCCCCTTAGGAGGGTTTCTTTTATGCTTCCTAGATGTATAGAATGCAGAAAAGTTTATAAAAAAAACATGAAACAAGAGACAAATGATACAATGAACCAAATCATCAGTGCTTCTGGTTCAAAGTAAGGTGGCAGCAAATGAAGACATGCAGCCTCAATTTCCATACAAATTGTGTTGTGTTCATGGGGAACGTAAGTGAAGAACACTTTTGCTTTTTAATATATTCTAATGTTTGAATGTTGCACCCAATTACTGTCAGTGCAAAAATGCTGAGAAATTCTAACAGGTTCTATCATCACTACAGAAAACATTGATAAATCAGTCTTACTAAGCAGTGAATTATAACCAAACAATCTCTTATGACAATGCAATCTAACATTGCAGAGCTGACATCTATGAGGCAATGTGGAAGTAATTTACAATATTTCAGGTTTGTTAGTTACACTTGAAAACAT